GAAAAAATTTATTGAATTTCGATTACGGAAAATCGGCGTTGCGCTCACTAATTCGACCCAACCTCCACTCGACGTCCCGACATTCACGGAAAGGGGAAGGGAAGCGCTGACCTCAGCAGACGCCGCGAGAGTGATTGGATGTGCCTGCTGCCGTATGCGGTCGGTGAGCGCAACGCCGATTTTTCGTAACCGAAGTTCAATAATTTTTTCCCAAGTCATCCTTTGAGATATTTAAAGTATGAAAAAAAAGCATTTTGTAGGAGAGTCTTTCTTCTTTCCATTACATGTAACCATTACATGATTACAAGAAGAAATATCATTGCATCACACCTAAAATGCACGTTGAAAAGAGTGCCCTTTTTTTTGGGCCACCCTGTACTTTGATGTTTTCGATGAGGACATATCTTTGACCTCTAACTTGAAAGTAAAGACGAGCCGGATGGCTATAACTCGCTTGCGATGAGAAATGGTGCATTGATCTCGGACTTCAAAGTGTACCTTTGGACGCATGGCGGATTCTGCTTCGTACCGGAAGTCCTCAAGGCTCACTTCAAGCTTATAGCTACATTGGTAAGTTCATTACTTTTTGCTATAATCACATCATCTCAAGCTCATTATCCATCAATCATATCAACGTTATCAGAATGCAGCGCCTGAGGAAACGAGGCTCAATGCTCTACGACGACCTTAGAATGAACTGCTCCCTGCATCTGCTATAATACGTGTTCTACTGTATCCTTTAAAAAAAAAATAGGAACGGTTTCTATTCAATCTAGCATGCTGTACGACTATTTTTTTTTTCTACGGACAACATGCGGCATCCGGATCCATCCAGATCCAATCCATCCATCCGGATCCATCCTCCCCTCCTCCACCCTTCAAATTCGAGTCTGGTTGCACCACTGCATTAAACCCATGTAAGGCGCGTCTTACATGGATGTAAGCGTTTTACATTAAAAGATTTTTATTTTTATTTTACCTTATATGGGTTTAACGTAGTGGTGCAACCAGACTCGAGTTTGGAGGGTTGGGGGGGGGGGGGGGGGGGGGGGGGAAGTGGGCGAAAACATTCTTGCCTACTTTGTCCAAGTTTACATTCGTACTGTGCAGTAGCTGGATGCCACATGTTGTCCGTCAAAAAATATTGTCGTACAGCATGATGGATTGAATAAAAATCTTTCCTATTTTTTAAATTAAGGATACTGTACAGAACAAGTAGCAGATGCAGTGCTGCATCTGCAGGATGCAGGGAACAGCTCTGTCGCCCGTTAAACGGACTGCTGCGGTGTACTGCATCGTGCGTGCAACATGCAGTACAATGTAGTTCAGGAGTATGAACTCGACTCGAAATGCTGCTGCTGCTATCATTCCTCTCCCCCCCCCC